TTTGAAAACATGTCGCTAATTAGTTAAGCAACATACACATCGTATCGGTCAACTACTTCGTAATGTTAACCGTGAAACTTATGTATTGTCGATTTCAGTCGTTCGTCTTTCTTACTCTGTCAGAGCAGTTTTTGTGTATTGAGCACGCCCTTGTTATTGAAGTCCGTATAGTGTGAATATGCACGAGCGCAACATCGTATCAGATAAGAAATATGTAATCGCAATACGATGGCATTGTGAACTCATCACGTTTATCATAGATTGTAGTTAGAAGTCGTCTATCTGTGTGTGTCAATACCGTGGACAAGATATCAAGCAAATATTAAAGTTTCGTTAGTATTCTTGGTCTAAAATTTGTTTTTTGGCAAAGACACTCGAACAAAATATTAGTTACTTATATTCGAAAAAAATCTAATTTTGACCAGCATCGAACCAAACACAGTTAAGGAGTTCAAAACAAAATCAAGAAAAGCCTTCACATCGGAAGGATAACATTTAATAGTTATCAGCACATATTGATAACACAAAAAGTATAAAATTTTGAGAATTGTAGGTAAATGGCAGCTCTTTGTTTTGTATACTTTTTAAAAACTGTTATGGACATTATGCTTGATGTATTGTGTAGACATCTGTCTATGTTTAAAGAATATACGGTGACCTCTAAAGATGACTTTTAGTTATTTTTGTGGTTGGCTTACTGTCTCATTGTCGTATACTTCACATCCCTATTATTTCATGTAAAAGAGCAATTTTAATGCCGGAACACCTGAGATCACCCCCAGTTTTTGGTGGGGTTCGTGTTGCTCAGTCTTTAGTTTTCTATGTTGTGTTTTGTATGTATACTTTTGTTTGTCTGTTGGTCTTTTTCTTTTTTAGCCAAGGCATTGTCGGTTTATTTTCGACTTATCAGATTTTATGTCCCTTTGGTATCTTTTGCCTCTGTTTTAATCAATTCATTACAACACTTTGACAAGCTGATACTTTTATGAAAATCATGTCATTATCAGAATTCAAAATGATTAAAAAAATTATGTAAGTTGTTGGAAACATACTTCACCATTATCATGATTATGTTGTAATAATTTAAAACTACTTATCAAACCATTTCGTCTGTCTATGATAACTCTTAAACAATGCATACACTATTAATACTAGAAGAAGGCTAGAGGAAATAAAAGTTATTCAAGTCCATCGACAGACAAGGATAAAGAATCAGACAAACTTTTGTTGAAACATATATTTTATATGCATGTAATAGTTATTTCATCACAACAAACAAGCAAATATACTGATTAAAAATTTAACAAAAAATAAATATATTCCTCTCGTGATACAGAAAATTCATAACGTGTAAAAAGTGTTATACGAAAAGTAAGATATGTCCATGTTTCGTAATACAAAATTAAAGGAAAACGATTTATATAACATATGTGTTGACCATTTTACATGGCATATTTTCGAGTCCATTCCGCCGCTGTTTCATTGAAAGTTTTCCTGTCTGTTTCATATAAATGTGCAGCTTCTCGGTTTAATATAACATCGAGTTGTGGAGAAGTTAATAACGCTGTTATAATCAGTAATACTGAAATAAAAAATGAAATCGACCATAAAAAGAGAGAGAGAGAGAGAGAGAGAGAGAGAGAGAGAGAGAGAGAGAGACCTTAAGTCGAAAAACAGACAAACAGTTGACGAGTCAAATCTGTTCACTCTGTGATATCCCCATACTTCTATAGCATCGTCACAGTACATTCTTACCGAATTTGAAAGATTGCAATGCTTACAAGGAAACCAGGACACATGGTAGATAATACTTTTACCAGAAGAAACAACACAGACAATTGAAAATTAAGGAAAATATACAGCTCTGAAAACTTAAACTAAAGCAATCACATTAATAAAAAACCTACTGGTGAACTAAGGGTCCTCCTCTATTTACTATCTTCTCATCGGTTTCCTATCTAACAGCAAGATATAATTCGGTGAAAACTTGTATTCGGTAATATAACCACCAAGGAAAAGAAAGCGCGACTATGACCTCCACAATAGGAACATATTAGTGGCCATCTACGATACAGATATTCGACAACCGTCAATTAGACATCAAGCCAACCAGAAAATGATTGAAGAACATTTTGAGACGTTATTATTTTAAGAATGCCTATGAAGTCTCACATACGTATTAAGGAACGAGTCGACAAAAAGAGTAGCACAGTTGGTTGACATGAATGTATGTTAAAAAGATGTAATACATATATTGTTAAAAAATGAAATAATGTAAGTAACTAAAGTCAGAATCAATTCACATCGATCAGCTACGGAAAGGTATTTTTCTTCATATAATTCGTGTGACGTTTTTGTTAGGACATAACTGATCGAAAAAAGCCCTAAAATTGTAATTACATATAGTGATGAAATGTCATGGGAGAAACGTACACACTCTTTTACATAGTTCGTAGTTCGACCCTACTATTACTGTAGCTGCCACACATGTGAGGATTAAGTGATATATGAAGTAGATATCGACCACCCTAACACTTGCCCATAGATATTACATTTGTACGTGTGACCTTGTAAATAGTACAATACATGTTCTCCACAGCTCCCCATTCCAGCGACTAAGAAGATGAGTTTTTTTTTCCATATACAAACTAGATAAGATATTTTAATGTGGGTTAGTTATTTAATCAAAAGATATAGGGATAAAATTAACGTGGAAAACTGAGATTGTTTACCCGTTACGGTAATGTTTTGTTAATGAATTAGCAAAATCGTGTACCTCTTTCAATTGAAAAAATATAAAAGTGATAATTGTTCGGCCTGATATATTATACAGCAATACAGTATCGTATACACTGAACTCCAGCCAATCAACTACGAACAATATTCATTCACACGGACGAAAAGTGCAGTCACCAGCAAATCGTTAAAACAGATAAAGAGTTATCAATTGTACTTTTCATCGCGGTGTATCGAAACTTTATCGTCTGTTCTAAATAGGGGAATTGGATAAGAATTGGAAAATAAATTTTGATTTTTGTTTTTGTTTCAAACATTTATAAAGGCAGAATAAAGAAATACCATTTCGCAATTAGCAGTCAATTTGGTTCATTTTCGTCAAAATAAGCGAAAGAATATCAGTGGTGTATCATTGACTAGCAAGTCAATAATTCAACTCATTTGAATCCGTATCCATGCAATCTTTAAATTAGACATTTAGTGCAGATAGGTTCGCATATCTTTATCATGTTGCTCATTCAGTAATAGGTATCCCATGAGGACGCGGTGTGTCAGTGTCAGATCATTCCGACAGCCGGAGGGTGATCTTACACTGACACACCAAGTCCGAATGGGATAACTATTTTACATCCCAACTCTTCTAGCCTATATGAAAAAACATTTATTTCAGAATGCCATACAATAATTATAATATACTTATAATATATACCCTTTATGAGCCCCGGATACAACGTTTAAATATGTTAAATTAACAGTGAGTTTGTATCCAGTCGTCCTGGTGTAGGAGTATGAATCGTGGCTTCATATGTTAAAGGTCTTGAGTTCGATTCTCCGCTTAGACACTGGAAATTTAATGGATTTTTTCTACATAATTTTGAAAGTCTTTATTCCGCTTAATTATTTCTAAGTTTCATTGTGTGTTCGACATTCCCGCCAAAATATTACAGAACAAAAGAAAGCCTGCAGAACAAAGAAACTCAAGGTAGAGTGATCTGGTAGGGGTGATCCGACTCAGATCACCCCTGTTAGAACAAAGGAGTTGGGATGTAATTAAAAAGAAAAGTATGTCAATATTGAAAAGTGAAACAAAGTTCCACCAGGAATAACCATTTCGTTGACTGACCTGGGATACACAAATCATTCTTATACAGATAAAACGATGTTATAAATATATTTTCTACCTATAACATGAAATGAAAAAAAAAAAACAGAAAAATCCGATTGCACATCCTCGCTATCTATTTATATTTACTTTTATATCGGGTTATCGAAGGTCTTCGAAGGTAATCTCGGTGGAATATTGGATGGCGTATGGTCTAAAAAAAACGTACAAAATGCTGATGCATTATAGCGAGCAAATGCATTGTTAATTGTTTCATTTGGACTTTTTATAATTTGGATATTCGTTTTAATATGTTATAAATAAAATATGAGAATTTGGGTCAAATCGGTGAACATAAATTTGACAGTTAATGTCTATTTAAATTTGTTTGTATTTCTGTACCAAATCTCTCTTTTAGATAATCATTAAATTATTACTTTATGGTGTACAGTAATATATTTTATAGTGTTATGATATGACTTTCTATTGTTAGGTTTATCCCCCTGGACATCTTTGTTTTAACATGTTTGATCCTGGATATGGACCATATGTTACGGTACTAGTATTTCGGAGCTTGCATTTTCTACCATGATCTCATAAAATGAGGATTGCTGCTAATAAGAAGGCTATTAAACCAAGAGTTCCATGTGCTGAAGTTGAAATCATCCCTTCGAAAATCTTACGGACGCCATCTCGAGTTGACGACGGATATGTTCCAATTGTCGTAACCACAATTCCGTCCTGTTTTCCCCGAATGTGACCTACCGAATTAGACATATCACCGGATTTGTTCTTACATGAGCAACACGACGGGTGCCACAGGTGAAGTAGGATCTTCTTATCCTTCCTGAGCACCTGAGATCACAACCGGTTTTTAGTGGGGTTCGTGTTGCTCAGTCTTTAGTTTTTATTTGTTGTGTTTTGTAAATTGTTGTTTTTATCTTTTGGTCTTTTTCTTTTTTTTTGTCATGGCGTTGTCAGTTTATTATCGACTTGTGAGTTTGAATGTCCCTTTGGTATCTTTCGCCTCTCTTTAATTTTGTCCATTCAGTATTACAGTTGTAAAATATTATTAAATTCTATCAGCAAATAGTAAATGTATTTTGTTTACGAAACCGGTTTGACCAATTTGTATTGTCAGCTATCTGTATGTAACGTGTTGTTAAAATTTGAAAAGATGTTGGACTAATGCCACATGCAGAAACTTTACCATCATCTTACATTTTGATATAATGTAACCTACAAACCAATCTGAATAAAATATGGTTGAATATATTTCTCCTGAGTTCCGCTCAATATTTGGATGATAAATCTTTGTGGTAAATTCTACCTGAAATAATAAAACATGTATTAGATCAATTTAAGAAATACTACCAAAACACAACTTGGCATATCTTCGTTAATTATCACAGTACGGAGCAATAACTCACAGTTTTAATTGTTTCAACTAATTTAGAAGATGATTATCCTAGTTGTGATGCCTTGCGTCTTAACCTATTTGTTATACGTAACATCAAGACGCATATGTAATATAATTCACCTGTTACAACTAAGTGTATATGGTTTTAGTTCCCTCCCAACCCACTTTATTTTGACAATAAAACTTTTGCATTTGAGTGAAAGCCATAATTCAGAGATGATGTCTCTTTAATTGCTACTTAATTATGTATTTTCTTTACCTTTTATATAACTTAAAGGAGTAGGCCCAGTAAGACCCCTTTTTGGCCCCAAAATATAGCAGTTTTACAAAATTGTTAAAACGTAATTTTTAGCTATTTATTGGAAAGAAGAATACTTCTGTTACATAAATATGGGCTGTTTTTGACAATACAATGCACATGTATCGGGTACTAGCATCATTAAGTCATGCTAAATTACTGAAATCTTCGAAATTTTAGCATTTTGGTTAATTTTTAGACGGTTTCCGTCAGAAATGGAAGTGGCCGCATTTGTGTTCATTCTTAATATCTAAATATAAGTTGTATTTGATGATAATACATAACATATATAAAGGTTGAGAATGAACACGGATGCGGCCACTTTCATTTTTGACAAAAAAACATCTGAAAAGTGACATATTATGGCAAATTTGATAGATTTTTCATGTTTAAGCTTGAATTTGAGCATCTTTAATGACTAAATCAGTTCAAATCTTTCACATAAACTAATTGAATCGACTGAAGTAGACACTTAAGTGTTTAAAAAGTGTCCAAAATCATTCATCAGATGAACCTGAATTTTGAGGCCAAAATCGACCCTTACCGGACCTACTCCTTTGCGAATTCTTTGATAAGCTAGGAGGGTATCTACAAGACAATAATATTAGAATAAATAGACTTACCTTTGGGGGGTTAAAGGGGTAAGTAGTGGGAAACGTTATTCGCAAGAAGAACACTCCTCCAGCGTAAGGACTGTCATCCTGTAACGACACAATTTATATAGTAAATGTATTATCAGTATTGTTCAATCTGTACAATTATATCAAAGGGGCATTAGCTACGAGATATAAAAAAAGTTTAAATTGATTTTTTTTTGTTCAATCATTAATGAAAATGAAATAGTGCAATGGTAATTCGCTTCTAGCAGCAAATTTGGTTCAGTTTTGACACAATAAGCTACGAATCATTGCTGATGAATTATTCACTTGCAAGCAAAAAATTCGACCTCATTAAATATCCGTTTTCATGTGACCTTCAATTTATCCTATTAGCTGGAGATGGGTTACGCATGTATTCAGCTATTAAAAAGAAAAGAATATCCATATTGAAAGTGAAACAAAGATGAACCACTTGGTTGACTGATTCGATCTACAAAATATCATTCTTATACAGGTAAAAACTACTTTTTAACCTACAATATGAAATCAAACAGACCCAGAAAAATCCAAATGCACGTGGTTTCTATCTATTTATATTGATAATTATGTTTATATCGGGATAAATGAAAGTCGACAGTCTTCGGAGGTCTTCTCGATGGTTAATTAGATGACGTCTACACAGGAAATGTTGATATATATATTATCGAGTTCATGCATTGTTAATTGTTTATTTTTAGCCTTTTTGTAATTTGGATATAAGTTTTAGTATGTTATAAATCAAATTTGAGAATTTGAGTCAAATCGGTGAACATAAATTTGACATCTAATGCCCCTTTAGATATTAAGCGCGGTAGGTATAGTTACCGGCTGGGATCGTGTTTTTTTTCGAGTGTGACCACGTTTTTCGAGTGAATATGATAAAAAATGTAAACAAACAGAAATCTTTTTTTTTTGTAAGACGTGAAATAGATGCTTAAACTTACTATACAAGATCATATTAGGTAAGTTAGTATTGGTGATAAAAAAAATCATCACTCGTACATTATTTTGTGTTCTAAAAGTTTAATTTAGCTTTGCATTTGCTTTAATTCCAAAACATAGATTCAAGCTATTTTCATACAAGTACTAATACAAATGTCATAGGCAATGCATATTTGGAATCTATATATCCTTTGATATAGACACTTTACAAAAATTCTTGTTTTTGCATGAAAAGGACATTTTTAGAATACATTTATTTTTATATGTCTGTGTTTTTTAGAGAGCAGCCCGTTTTTTTTTTAGTGCGGTCCAGGTTTAATCGAGTGATTTAACAAAATGTTATATGTCACTGCGATTACGTTTAAAAAGCAATGAAAAGATTTAAATAAAGTACTTTTCAAAGCACAAAACCAATGCATTTAACCAGTTTGATGATACCGTAGTACGTAACACGTACATTCGTAAAAAGCATCGTATATTTGTATATAGTATTGTTTGCCGCATCTTATTTATTGCATGGACACCGGTATTGGTATATTTGGATAGATCAAACATGTGCAAGCCCATGTTAATATGGTGAAACTATCCAACAAGTCAACGCCGAGGTACACCTGTTGTATCGATCCAAACATATGTATGTCGATGTCGATTCAACCAAATATGCATATCATACAGTAGATATTCGTGTTGTTAACAATATTAATGTGATCACATACATATATATAAAGAAAATGAGATGTAATATGAATGTCAATGAGACAACCATCCACAAGAGTTCAAATGACGAAGATAAAAGTAGATATAGGTCACCGTGAACCAACGACAACCACTGACTTACAGGCTCTTGGCTTGGGACAGACATATAAAGATTGTGGCGGAGCTAAACGTGTTTGCAAGCCCTAACACCCCCTAACGTTGGACAGTGGTGTTACAGCACAAAATAAGAACTAACTGTAAAAATCAGTTACAAATGACCATTCATGTGACGCGCAGTTTATGTTTCGTTTGTGGTATCCTGGTGTGCTGTCAAAAATTTATGCGAGTTGTCCGTTGTTATTCTGCGGTTTACATGTTGTATTGTACTATTATATTATTTATTTATATATTTCTCTGTGCTGAGTGTTCTTGCGTTTGTTTGTACTGTATTCCTGTCACGTAGTGTTGTCATTTTAGTGGTATTTTTAACATTGCCATATAAGCGGGAGGTTTGGCAAGCAATTAAACCAGGTTCAACCCACCATTTTGTCTTAAAATGTCCTGTACCAAGTCAGGAATAAGGCAGTTGTTATCCACAGTCCGTTTCTTTGTATGTTGGCGTTTGCTTTTGTTGTACTTCAGTGTTTCTGTTGTTCTGTTGTTTTCCTCTTATAGTCGATGTGTTTCCCTTGGTTTTAGTTTGTTACCTGGATTATTTTTGCTTAATAGAATTATGACTATTGAACAGCGGAATACTACTGTTGCTTTTATTTACTCAAAAAATCGGTATGAAGCACAAACAAACCAACTAACATAAAAACAATAAATCCAAAGTATCGATATAAGAATAATCGCGGTTACTGAAAGCTAGTTCAAAGCCTGTTACAACTAATAAATAAATAATGGTTTCCCAGAATAAAGTATCAAGCAGTACAATGTTGGATTGAGACGAACGTACATTGTGTGTGATAAGCGGGTATGTGTATTTTTTTTTACAGAAAATACATCCTAAATGTTTCATTTACTATTTGTCTTGATGATAATTTGTTTTATCGTTCTATGAATGGAAAACAAAAACAATTTTCAAATGCTTCTACTTTGATGAGGAGTATGACCAAGCGTATGTTATACTTGGTTACACAGCAATAAAACCCCACGATAGCTTCCTTTCCATCACTTAGCTTTGTTTTTGTGCTTTTGATTTTGCCATTTGATTAGGGACTTTCCGTTTTGAATTTTCCTCGGAGTTCAGTATTTTTGTGATTTAACTTTTTAGCAGTGCTTCAAAAATGGATCTCTATTCTAGTTTTTACAATTCTTTCAAAAGAATCATATAAAAGCTTATAGTGACTTGGCTGGTCCCAGGCCACTCTTAGTATAATATATGTGGTAAACTGCATTTTACTGAATTTATAACTTCTGTCCCTCTTTGTTTTCTTAATCTATTTTTAAAACGCAAGGTTTCGCCAATGTAATATATATAAATCATAAACAATTATTTACTGTAAAAAATATTGTAGCATGAAATGATATTGAAAAGACTATGAGTCCCCTGTTCTCGGTTCTAAAGACAGTTTTACAAAGAACCCAGTAATTTCTAATATATGTTAGTACTGCAACGTTATAGTTAAATGTTATCAGAACAGAAAATTATCATAAAATTGAAAAGGGTTAAATTTGATCAACATAGTAATATGTTTTGTTACTTACTAGGAATATATAATGTTGCCCTTCGCTAAATTACAGTTACAGACTAGAAATAGGTAGAGTTTAAGCCCAAGAATGCCTTCTTTCTTATTCACATTTTCTAAGAAAAACCCAGACCATTGGTTTAAAAACCCGGACGTTTTAAATGTTGCTCTCGAAAAAACACGTACAATATAAAACACTGAATTATTAGTGAACTACATGGAAATTGTGCATCGTTTGTGCTCAAAACATGTTTAGTATTCAGAATAAGATGAACAGTCATGAATAAAACTATTATATAGGCGAAATAGCAGTAAATTGATCTGATCGCATGTAATATCACTCGAAAAAACCTGATCTACACTCGAAAAAAGTGGACCGATTCACTCGAAAAAACACGATCTCTGCCGGACACTATACCTACCGTGTTAAGTGTTGCATATTTAAATTTTTTAAACAATGATTAAATAGGTTTCCATTCTCGTCGCGACATAGCCATTGTAACTCCCGTCAGCACCATTAAACGAGTAATACTGATATTGAATTTTTTTCATTTCTAAATTCGTCAAATAACATTCCTTTAGCTTTATTAACGACTCCTATAACGATTTAATACATTTTAACTTATTAATGACAAAGCCTGGCCTGTACTCACTGGTCCCGTTATCATTCCTTGCCATTTGAATACTGAAAAATACAAAATAAAGGTTTGATATTTTTGTTGTTGGGTTGATGTCTCATTGGTGTATATACAAAATCATTTTAAACATATTGTTTAAATATATCTTTTCTCCTTTAAGATATCCATTCAATTTACAGTAATCTACTATTTCAAACTTTATGTCATTTTAATTCAATACAGATTCTATTAATAGGTTTTCTGTAATATGATTCTTACGTATCCATTGTAATGGGCGAATTTATGACAGAACTATAAATTTGCTACCTACTCAGAATGATAGACAACAAAAAAATTCACTGATATGATATGTATATATATAGAAAAATCTACATGCTACATTTTTTACATATTTTAATATGATTTATCTCTTGAATATCATGCTGTTAAATTTATCAACTTCCTTCTCAGATATAAGTTATCAGAACTATTTCATATCAGCTCCAGGTTTACATGGTTTAGTGTAGCTTTTTTTTTAATTATAAATTGCGACCATGTGTCAACGAACGTCGTGAGTGATCCTAAAGAAATTTGGTTGCCCACTAGGTGCCTTTTTATTATTTGTGTCGATGAGTTGCTGTTTCATTGACCATATCCCCACACATTCTTTCATTTCATGTGAAACAGTTCCCATATCGAACCATACTGAAATAATTTGAAACAATGCCTTTTTAGATTGATAACAGTCCTTCATTAAGACATAGGCTATAAGTAAGACATCTGAATGATATAAGTCATTAACTATTGAAAATGCAGTTTCAAACTTACAGTCGTCGCCTATTGGGCCCGCTGAACAACCTGGAGGAGGATCTCTAGTAATCTCTGAAAGTTCCTGGAAGAAACATTGCAGCTCAAAGTAATGCAAATCAAGTCTATCAATGATGATAACAATCAAAGACACTGTATTAATAAAGAAACAACCTAATTGGCATAAAAGGAAAGAATAGAGGCATACGAACTACCAGCCTGAATCATCCAATTGTCAAAAAAATATCTATAATTGGATTCAAGATAAGAAGCCAAACTCTAAAATTTCTCAAAATTGTTATTTAAGGGCAAAACTCTAGGACCTATAAATATAAAAAGCAAGATTGTCCTTTTCCAAATTTGAATATTTCAGATTCGAGAAAAGCAAAGCGAACATTTTCGACACAACAGATAATTATTTGTTCCCCATTGTTTATTTTCTTTATTCAGACGATGACGTTCCTTTGGCCCTCCTAATGGTGTGTATATCTCACACTTAGTTCGTTATGATTGTGTCTGTAGTAACGCTTTAGATTTCAATGAGCGTAATATATGTATAACTGGCAAATTAAGTCAGGGATTTCTTTGTCATAAATTACTTAACATTTTACTAGATTCTTTCATATAGCACAGATTTGGTTTTAAAGTTTGGTTGAACTGTACAAGTCCTATTAAAAATGGGAAATCACATGCTAATATTTACGGTAATATAGTTTAGAAAGCCCGTAAAATTAGATACAACTCATTAAAACTTATTGATCTCTGAATAAACTTATCATTACAGGATGCAAATTTACCAACATCGTAATAAGGTCATTGCATGTTGTTTTTATCGGTACTTACATTGATTTTGCATTTCACAACTAAAAAAAACCATCTGGATATATTACTATACATATCTTTAAAACTGCCTGTCGACATAATGTACTTATATTTTGGCATTGCAAAAGGTCATGCCTTATTTTGACTGTTTATGACGCCTTTACACTCAATCCGTCGGATGTGTACTGATTGATATTTTAATCTAAGAGAAAGTGGTGTATTTATTAGCTGATATTAGATTTGAAGGAGCTTTCAATATATGCGAGTGCTCTTAGAATCGTATTTTGTACATTTTGTCTTTATGTTAATTTTTTTGTGCATCGTGCCGTTCTTATTATCAAGCCGTTTCCAATTAATTTCTTCTGTTTGTTCCTTTGTTGAATTGTTACATCATATTCCAAGGTTAGGGGGTTGAGCACTCACAAAATAACATGCTTAAACCAGCCAATTTCTCAATGTGCTTATCCCAATTAAGAAGACTGTAATTCATTGTTTATCATTGCTTGCTATCTGATATATTTGTTTATCGTTTATTATATATTTAGTTCGTCATAAATCAGGCCGTTGAGTTTTTTCTTACTTTTTGCCTAATGGTTTTGATCAAGTAGCATTTCTGAAGATCTTGTGTTCCTCATATACTAATATATAGAGTGTCGACCTATACATTATAGTTTTCGAGATTATGCGCACTAACTCGAAAACAAGTCCAAATTCGTCATTCAAGGGCAATAACTCATGTAAGCAGTCGTTCAAAGGTCTCGGTCATAAAAGATTTTTTTCTACATCTTAAAACTTTTATCTTTTTCGCTGTATCAATTCTCTGTCTATCTATTAGGATTTTAAGATAATAAGCAATACGCAAACATTTTTTATAAATCGTTAGCGAATGGCAGTAACTCCTTGAAGGAGCAATCTTCTAATGATTTTGGTGAAATTGGGAAGTAGGTTGATTTTGATGTTTTGAGCAATAAACTCATCATAGATACCAGGATTCAAATTTGTACGCCAAAAGCGCGTTTCTACATAAGACTCATCAGTGACGCTCGAATCAAAAGAGTTTAAAATACAAAATTAAGAACGAAGTTGAAGATATATTAATATAATCAATACTACACCTGGTATTAATTTTCCTATCTATTTCTGATTTTGAGATACTAGAAATGTAAAACATTTTACCGGCATGTTCTATTATAGCATTGGCCGCTATGTTGTTTATAAAATGTCATTAATGTTGCATTTTATTGTGTAATAAAATATTATTTTCGATCTTCCTGCGATTGTTGTAAGCCAATACGGATTCTATATAGAATAACCTTTGATTGTGTCGAAGTAAAAAAAAAAATTGTTGGACAAGGCTTTGAAGAAGTATAATGTGAGGCTAAACCGAGCATTTCGATCCCGTTTCGAGCAGTGTATACATAAATTTTATATTTTGAGACAATGTTTAGTTGTTTTCTTTAAACCGTAACTTTTACAAAAAAGTAAAGTAACAAAAATACCGAACTCCAAGGAAAATTCAAAACGGAAAGTCCCTTATAAACTGTTCCAAATTAAATATCTGGGGTATAAAGACGATCAATTTTTAATTTGCAGCGGACGATTAAAATATTCCACGAACCTGTATTCCTAATTGACGTCATACATAACACTCTACGGAAACACATTATAAACCTTAACACAAGGCGATATACGCTCAGTGTATATGACAAATTATTATAAATAGATAATCGGTCAATGCAATTTGACTGGACAAAAAGCACAATTAAGTATTAAAATGAAACAAACATGTAATGTAATGTAAATTGTACATGATCAAAGAAATTGTAAGTTGATGTCTATTTTGTAGTTTACGTTTTGTCTGTTTGCTGGTATTTAGATGAAAATGACTGATATGAAAAAAGGCATTTTGTTTATGTAATGACTTACCCTTTTTATTCTTTTTTCTGCCATTTATAATAATTTCCGGTAGAACTAAGTCATAACCCCAAAAAGTATTAAAAATAAGATAACACCGGCATTATTTTTAGAACAGATATCTGACTGTTTCCGTTTTAAATCAAATTGAGAGAAAAATTAAAAAAATGTATTTCGGAAGAAGATCGGACCGCAAACGGTGCATAAATAGCCGTATGTCCAATGCAACATTTTTAACGTTGTACATAATATTTTTAAAATATCTACAACACTTTAGGTACTAATTTTCCGGATGTTCAGGAAAACAAAACATGGTTTCAAATTGAAAGAAAAATTATTTAGATTGTGCATAATTGTTAAGTCTATTAATTACACCTTTGCATATAATTTGGTGTTCTGTGTAATCAATAATGACCTCATTTAACAAATTCTGGAATTAACGAAACGCTGTAATCTTATGATTGTTGACTCATTTTGCATCGACCCAGTTAAACAGATATTCCAGACAGGTGGAACAATGTAATCTGTCTGGAATAAACATTTCTCGTTTTTTATATAGATTAAACCGTTGGTTTTCCTGTTTGAATGGTTTTACACTAGTCATTTTTGAAGCCCTTTATAGCTTGCTGTTCGGTGTGAGCCAAGGCTCCGTGTTGAAGGCCGTATTTTGACCTATTATTGTTTACTTTTACGAATTGTGACTTATATGGAGAGTTGTCTCATTAGCACTCATACCACATCTTCTTATATCTATTTATGAAAGTTGCTTGAATCAACAGAATATTTGATTTACTTGTAATTCAATTTTAAATTAAAATGAGAAAACATAAAGAATGACTCTACTGTATTCATCAGGGATTACCATTAGATATTCGTCAAGAAGATGCAAGGGGATTTTAGGAATGCATACTTCGACCTGGTAAAGACTGAAAAAAGACAGGATGAAAATGAATATTCTGCTCAACAAAATACAAAACAACAGTTGTGTAAAAAGTAAAAATAATTTTCGCACGGCTGAATTCAAATGGTCGTACATCGATTAAGTAGATACAAACCAAAGCAACGTAAACTGATGGAACCGCAAGAAATCCACAAGAAAAAAGACCGGATATGTCGAGTTTGTGGATAGGGTTAGCGTCTCCCGCTAAGAAGACATCAACCGAAATGCAAATCAACACGTGGTCAAAATTCACAATTGGGAATAGGAAGTGATCGTTCAAATAACAGATCTCATGCGTCTAAAGATCTAAAACATGGCTAGTGAGTTGAGCCACTGACACATGATATCATTAAACTAATCTGATAGTGACTGTAAGACTTTTGTGGTGTTGATTTTAATCTTTTACATTCTGTTGGGGCAGTTTTTGTGTAAACAGCACATTCCTGCTAATGAAGTTCGTATAGTGGAAACTGCACGAGCACAATGTATTAATTGAGAAGTGTAAACGCCATCCGATGGCATTTGGAATAAAGTATATTACAGTTGAGGAAAGGGAAGTTGACTATCAGAATGTTGAAATCATCACGTTTATCATAGATTCAAGTTTGAAATCGTCCGTCTTTGTTTATATCGTGGAAACGATCAAGATATGAAACAGACCTTATAGTTTCGGTAGTATCCTTTCTCTGAAATTTATTTTTCGTCAGTGGCACTAGAACAAAATATTGGTTACTAAAAAAATAAAAAACTTTACCAGCATTTAACCTGACCTAACACAGAAAAAGAGTTTAAAACAAGATAAAGAACAACTGTAACTGCATTATTTGAAATATTGGTTACAAGACAATCAAAATCAAAATCTAGATTATAAAAAGATTAAATCTTCAGCTTTTATTCGAGTGTACTATGCATGTAAACTAAAAATTTACTGTTATTTAATCGGTTTTAAATGTTTGTAAATATAAAAATTAATTGGAAAAAATAAATTAACATAAATAAGAAAAATAAAAACATATAAATTTAATGTAAAAAAGATATTTAAATCAAATATATATTGGAGTAAATTAGAAAAATAAAATCCTGTAAATTAAATGTAAATAAGATTAAATCAGAAATTTAGCTGATTTTCTAAATTTCTCTAAATTTGTAGTTTAATTTGTTAATAAATGTTTTGTAAATTTTAAACCTGAAACTAACGATTATTTTAAATTCTGTAAACGCATCATTTCATGCAGTGAACCTGTACATCAGAAAGATACAGTAGTTTGACTACTTAGACCACTCGACCACCGGTGCCCCTTTATATACATATATATATAGATTATCTATTTGGGTTAATTTAACGATGCAATTCATTTAAAACTTATTTTAGATAAAGTCTATACTCATTGGTCCCGCTACTACGGCTTCCCATGTGAATACTAAGCAAATTCAAAATATAGGTTTAATGTTTTTGTTGTTGGTTGATGTCTGATAGACGTATACCCACAATCTCATTTCACTTTATATAAGTTTTATCAAATTTAGATGCTATAATAAAAGTGTACTCATGTATCCATTTTGTTTAAGAACTTTGGTAAGAAATAGAAATTCGCTGGTTTGTCAGAATTATAAGCAACTTTGAAATTCACTGAGATGTCGCGCAAAATGTAGACATTTTTGTTAACATATTTTGATCTGATTTCTATCTTAAACATCATACTTTTACATGTTATCAACAGTCTTGTTCGATAATAAATATCATAACTAATCCATATCAGCTCAAGGTTTAAAGTAGAATTTTATCATAATACATGACCATGCCTATCCAAATCAATGAACGTCGTCATTTGTCGTCTTATGTCTTATCTTAATGTTTCGTTTTTTTTTGTTTATTTTGAGATTTTGAGGGGATGGTAGATATGTGATAGTTTACAATTAGTTAATCCCTCTCTACATTTGTGCGCTTGTACAAAGTCATGTAATCTGAACCCTATGTTTCATTGTTATTTGTTTTTGTTTATTCGTCTATCATTTTGAAGGAGTCAGGTGCTGTTGGTTGATGTGACATTTTGCTGTCCTCAATATGTTTTTTTTTCATTATTGTGTTTTTGAGTTGCGTTTCATTAACCTTACTCTAAAATCTCTTTTCATTTAATACGAAACAGTTTCTATAGGTTGCACTTTGCAAATACAGCTGTTTCACAAGCCACGCCTCTTTTGAGGAGATATATAATATTCATAGATATTTTGTTTTGTTTACGTACTGGTTCCCAGATATGATCTCTATGTTTCATCTCATAGAGAAATAACTTGGGAATATTTCCAATATAAAAACACATGGTAACGGCGATAATTGAATTCTGATGGAGACCCAGAGTGAAGGTCTGGGTAGTACAGAATTTAAGTTTAAACTCTTAGAAGTTCGGGGCATAAAAATGTTGAAAATATGCCGCACATTCCTATGTTTTGACCTTTGAATAAAAAAGTAGTGCATATCAACTTTCCGTTCTAGGATATGGTTTTTTTTAAGGAAACTTCATAGTAAACATGGCATAGCTAAAGGGAGTTCCTATGGGAAATTGCATTGTCTATATTTACAGAAGTGCAACCTATATCTGGACTCACTGAAATAATTTGAAATATACATATTCTAACCGCCCTTGACCTAGTCCATATATGAATCGCTGAATGATACACTGTATTATAAAAATAAGAAGATGTGAAATGATTGGCAATGAGACAACTCTCCACAAGAGACCAAATGACACATAAATTAACAACTATAGGTTACCGTACGGCCTTCAACAATGCACAAAGCCCATACCGCATAGTAAGTCTATTATTATTAAAAATGCAGTTTTAAACTAAGTCATCACCGATTTGGTAATAACTCTTATAAGAAATCTTGCAATTGTTTTGGTCAAAATATAATTAAAGGCAACAGTAGTATACCGGTGTTCAAAAGTCATAAATCGGTTGAGAGAAAACAAATCCGGGTTACAAACCAAAACCGAGGAAAACACATCAACTATTAAGAGGAAAACAAAGGAACAACATGACACCGAAGTGTAACAAAAACAAACGCCAACACACATAGAAACGAACGTATTGATATCAACTGCCATATTCCTGACTTGGTACAGGACATTTTAAGAACAAATGGTGGGTTGAACCTGGTTTCATGGCATGCCAAACCTACCGCTTTATGACAATGTTAGAAAATATCGCTAAAACACTACGTGACAGAAATACAGCACAAACACACGCAAGAACATTCATAACTGAGAAACGCACAAACAAATAATATAATAATCGACACAACATGCAAACCACAGAACAACAACGAACATATTCCATCAACAAAAAACACCACAGGATATCAAAAACAGTATAATTTTTGTATTGCTGGTCATTGCTGTTGTTAAATTTTGATAGTTTTCAATACACAAGACACTATTTAAAAAAAAACAAGTAAAAAATCGTGTTGATATCTTCCCCCTATATTTTAGGGGAAATGACTCTATAAAATGTCATTTAATGGATTCGGTCATATTAACATTTTGTAGATCTTGTATTGCTATTGATAATGTTTCAAGTTTTGCCTGTCTGTCATATTTTTTGAGATGCAAAAATTATAAAATTGATAAGGAATCATCTAATGATTTCGCATACTAAGAATATTTGTAGATTTTGTGTTGCTGATATTTTATCTTGTTTTTAGTTTCTACCTACATTATAGTTTTTTAGATTGATGACAAAAATTTGTCGAAAACCATTATTTATTATCAACAACTCCTTCAAGGAGTCGTTCAATAGTTTCGGTCATTTACACAGTTTTTCTAGATCTTGTATGAGTGATCATCTTTTATGTTAACAGTTTGTATTTCCGTAAACTAGTTTATCGTGTTAAACATGTTAAAATTAGCTATGGAAATAAGTAAGATTTTTCATATCCGTTCACAATAACAGATGTGTTTTTTTCCATATATTTTCTTCTTCAGGTTCACCTGGGATTTTCACGCTACGTAAAAGATATAATAATGAAAAAACATGGTTTTTAAGTGTGCCAATTTTGTAATAAAATGAGAAAAAGTAGCAAACAAATAAAGAAAAG